AGTGGAAAACCGTTACCGTATAAATAAAGACTAATTATTTATACACAAACCCATTACGACAAACTTTAGTTTTTTGAGAATCAGACACTTACCTAACATTTTTACAGGATAAAAGGTATCCTATGTCTATATCCAAGATCCAGGTTATGAACTACATAATTTTTATAGCCCGCATGAAAAAAATCCTCTTCTATGCATATAATAGGAATATACTTAGGCTCGTATTACAGAATGACAACTATGTGTTGATCTGTACTTGAGTACAGTTAGAAAGGGATGTCGCTATGTGCTATATATAGCGACATCCCTTTCTAACTATGCTCAAGACTAGATTCATAACTGAGAATCTTTCTATAATACGGGCCTTAGTCTCAATTGATATTGAATTAATTGACCTTTACTACGACCCTCGAATCGACGCTTAAAATATTTTGCATATGCATAAATTCTGAAGCGTATACGTGGCTGCAATAGAACGTGACCATGCATAATGTCAACTCAATATCTGTTTATCACTGGCGTGTTTTATTTACGGGTGTTTGTTAAGGGTTGAATACATTCATGATACATAGTGCTTACATGTGTTGCTTTTTCTATTGTGCCTAGGAGCGGTTTGTAACAACAATTAGATAATATTAATGATTTCAACAAAAATTACCCATGCTATGGCACTTGTCCTGCCTCCGACTTTGAGCGAGTAGAGCTAGAAATAAGAAACGAGTTGGCGAGCAGCGGGTAGTGAGTTTGTAGTTCAGATAATTTTATTGATACTCGCGCCACTCGCTCGCGGAGACTAACCTGCCCCCCAAGCTTGAGCACCGCAATACGATATATAGCTCGTTTTTATTAAGTTAAATTGTGTATTATGAAGTTTGACAGCTACACTCGATAGAAAACGATATATAATTTAAAGTCTTGTGCTTTTACTATGGGGACTGAACAAATTTTAAGACAAGCGAGCACCGCTTTGCCATTATTAGCATCGTTAATAGCTTTTGTCGCTCAGCGACAAATTAGAATAGAGAGTTCTCATAGAGAGAGTTATCGTTGAGTCAGCGATCAATTTTTAATTTAAGTATCTCTTTTGTTTACACAGAATGTATATCTATGTATGTAAGTTAAGTGAGCGAGAAAATAGATAGTTAGTCGCCTCCTCGCGGGAGGCTGTCCAGACGAAATGAAAAGCCTATAAATGACAGGTCAGTTTATGAAACGGTTAGATAATGTAGGTAATGTTTTTCTTTGGACATATCATATTTTAGTCCTGTTTATGTCAAATGTAGAAGCGAATTGGAAATTTATGTTATTTGCGGGATTGTTACCATGTACCTTGTTGTTAACGAGTTTCCGATATTTCGGCACTGTTGCAAGCGCCATGATCACTGAACTGATATCGGAAACTCGCTAAAAACAAGGTACCTACGTGGTAACAATCCCGTAAATATTATAAATCACTATAATATTAGTGTCCATGAAAGTTTACAACAATAAATTGTCGAATAGGAAAGTTTGTGAAAAGAAAAATTACATAGAAAAAATATACTAGAAAAAATTTCGCACGGACCAGGCAGCAGACGGGACTCAAACCCGCACACTTCGCTATCCGGGCGAATGTAAATAAGAAATAGGTTGATATAACTATAATTGCTATTAATTCTTTCAAATATTTAATACTTGTAAATGGCGCTGCCTTACAGCTTAAGAAACACTAGAAAGAATTCAACACAGCCATCAGGGCCGCGGTAGAAGTAGTCCGTGCATTCGCCCGGATAGCGAAGGGTGCGGGTTCGAGTCCTATCTGCTGCCTGGTCCTCGTGGATTTTTTTCTAGCATAATTTTTTCTTTAGATCTAGCAGTTAAATGCCTAAAAATATAATAAAAAATACCTTTGATAATTTTGGGCTGAGTGACTAGACTTTAGTTATTAACAACATACGTGCGTACATTAGACGCAATTTGAATAGGAAATGTACAACATTGTTTACCACGCATTATTTCAGATTTCAGTCGTAATTTCGAAACGGATCGTGCTCGGAATACTTCGTTCTGTAAACTGTAGAAATTTTAGTCACTACATTATAACGTCACATTTGGAATACTTTACCCAGTAACAAAATGTTCAAGTTAAATCCCAACGCAATGGCTGTTTAGGATTGAAAATGCCAACGGTCAAATTAATCGAGAACAAACTATGGCAACTAAAATAACCGACATCGCTCAAAGGGTTGCTCGGCTGAAGTGGCAGTGGGCGGGACACGTAGCGAGGAGAACTGATGGCATGAGGCCAAACAGGTTCTCGAAGGCGACGACGCCAGGTGGACCAACGTTCTAGTGAAGATCGCGGGGCCCATAGATGCGCGTGACGCTGGACCAATCGATATGAAGATCCTTGGGGGAAGCCCATGCTCAGCAGTGGGCGTGCGCTGAGATGATGATGGTGATGAAACTATGTTATGCTTTTGACAATGGATATTGCGGGATTTTCTACGACCCGGGGTCCCTTTAAAGAGGCATGAAGAAGCAACTTGCAGGCCAGCAAGGTGAGGGTGCCTGATGTGGCAGGTAAAACTGCTGCACCACATATCTTTCTGCTTGGATTTCATGTCACATAACATCAAGTTAACTTATAGAATAAAACCGAATAAGTGGGAGTGGGACTCGTCCACCAGGGGTTCCGTACAAATTTGTAGGTACGCATTAGTACGCAATATAACCGGCCGCGCCATATATTTTTTTAATTAACTTAGAAGTTTGATTTTTTCACAGTTTCGAGGAACTATAGTCTTGAGTACATGGTTCAAATTTCAACTCGATACCTGTGCAAGTTCACAAGATAAAGGGTATTGACAAACAGACGGGCAACAAAGTGATTCCAGTAGTATTCTGTTTTTTTTAGAACTCAGAAATTACACTTGACAGAGTAAAAAACAGGTGAAGAATGCCGACAAACGAAAAACGCAGTTCCAGAAACAAATAAGAGACTTGCCCACACCCTTACCAGACATAATAGGGACAAACTTCGCATAATTATATAATTATAGGAACCCTAACCGGTCGTTGTCCCCAAAACAATAGGAGTAACAGACAGCCCCCTAAGCAGGAGATGTATGGCGGCAGAAGAAACGCCACAGCATGTCATCATGGAATGCAGGAGTTTGGCCGACCAACGGGCACGACTTCTCCAGTCGCCAGCATCGCTTTCGGAAGCTTGCAGCAGTCTACCAAAGCTGCTTTCCTTCTGGACTAACTTAGGCTGGCTGGAGTAAACGGGAATGTTTCGAGACACGCACAATGGTCTAATAATTGTGCGGTTTCCGCACTTAGGGCTAAGTGCGGAAACCGCCCTGAAAAACTAAACTAAAAACTAAATTAGTATTCTGTTTTTGATTTTGCCGTACGAAACCCTTAAATCAAGAAAATAATTAGGAAACTCGATATCGCAGTTTTAAGCATATTCAGTCGAAGGTTGTAAAGTTAAGCGCAAGGGTCTTAGGGTGTGTGATCGAAAATTAATTATCACGAGCTCCTCCATGCTTTGGAAGGCACGTTAAGCTGTCGGTTCCGACTGCATCGTTAAAGATAGTTTTTATACAAAACATGTTTTGCATCTGTCAAAAGTTGCTCGATATCATATCATCATAGGGTTCCCTTTATCTGGCAGAATCTTGTTGCTCCGAAATTCATTTGGTTAACACTTGGCATAATTTTCATTAAACTATTGTTTTTAAGGCATATTTTCTTGTAAATGTAATCATTGTATTGTATAATGTTTATATGTCCAAATTTAGAATGGCATACTATTAGATCGCAGAATTTAATTAGGCATAATTATATTTGACAAATTTTACGCTGTATAATTTCGCTAAGCATAATCAGTATCGGTCAGTGGGTTAGGCTAAGCTAGTGTTATAACCTGAATATATTCAGCCACAAGATATAAAAAATAAATAAAATGAAAAGTTAAATATTATTATGCCAAAATGCGATTTGGCAGTGAACTTTCTGCGATATGACGGTTCTGCTTTTTTTGTGTTGTCGATATTGATTTTATGCCTAAAGATGATTCTGGCTTAGAAAATAATGCGTTTGAATTTCTAGTAAATAAGAGAATACAAATTGTTTTTTTACAAAATTAAGTTCATGCCCTGCGTTCATATGCATAATAATATTATATCATTAAAAGTTCTGCGATACAAGGTAGACTTATTACCATAGTCTATGTACAATTATACGTCTGACTCAACTCACTTCACACCGTAAATCTAGAGCAGTTTATGTTATTCACAGCCACGTACTATATAACAGTACCTATCAGCCTAGCACCATTACCCATGCGTTAATTTATACCGCAGTTAGCGGCTAAACTACAGTCTGTTTGACTAAAGGCTAATTAGTTCTCCGTTGATATCATTATACATTTAAACGGGCATAGTGCTGTGCAATGGATGTTTCTGTGTTAAAAGCAATTAGTGAGTTTGAACTTTAATGTATTCTCAGAATTATGTTGTCTGTTAGCTTATTGGTACTGACCGCATTTTGTGCTTTTGAGGTTCAGGTAGAGATAGCTCTAATAGGTAATACCACAAAATAAATAGTACAGAAGTAAGCTCGAGCTCTTTTAAATAGATGCTACTGAAGGGTTTACGGAATCCCAAAACCCCCGCTTGGGCTCCATAAAAAATAGACAAGAATTTTCGTAAGTGGAATTCTTTGCCCGCGCACGTGTTCCCTCCTTCCTACAATCTGGGGTCTCTTAAGAGAGGCGTGAAAAAGCATTTTTGCAGGCCGGCAAGTAGAGGATGGTTGGTGTGGCAGTTTAAAACTCCTGTTTCAGCTATCGTCGCATTTAGACTTTATCAACACTTAACATCAGGTGGGGTAGAGTCATTTGCCTACCTGGCTATAAAAAAAAGAAGAAGAAAAAAATCAGCCCTTGCTAAATTTCTGCTGTATACTTGCAGACTTAGTTAAACTAAATTAAAAAAAAACAGCATACTAACCAAGAACTAAGATTGATTGTTGGATACTCCTCGACTGCACCTGAAATAAAAAGTGTATTTTAGTATTAACATAATTAATGTGCTAATAAAAAAGATTTATTATTAAAACGATTTATTCTCAGTTCGTGCCACTGAGCTATGTCTCAAAAAAAATCTGACAATGTCCCATTTTGTATTCTTCGTTTGTACCAAAATTTTTTTTTGTTTGTTAGATTCTCGGTTTGTCCCAATTCGTTGAGAAATACAGTGTAATTAAGTAAATCATAAAAGGAGTTGTGATGTAGAAAGTGACATTAAATAATATTATATACTGAAATTATAATTCAAAATTGTACATGTGAAGGAGTAACAGACAGAATTTCACATCACACTAATATTATAAAGGCGAAAGTTTGTGAGTGTGTATGTTTATTACTTCTTCACGTCTAAACGGCTGGAGCGATTTTAATAAAATTTGGTATGGAGTTAGCTGACACCTTGGATTAACACATAGTTTTATTGTGGGAAAATATCCCTAATTAACCGCGGGCAACACCGCGGGGCACAGCTAGTTTACAATATTTCTAAGAATTCTCTCTAATTTCCAGATAATAATTACCGTTATAAATTAAAATTTGTAATTAACTGTTTGATCTACCAAATTTTGTGTTCCACTTACTAAACAAGATAATGTTGTAATCATAATTTTTAATGGTCCTTTATATCGTATCGCGTTAATGAGATTTTTGCAAAGATATCGTGGCAATAAACATATTAATTAAATTACACAAATGAATGGAAGAAAATGAAATAGATTTTCTGCTCAGAAAAAATATATTCTAATATCATATAACAAGACAGGAGAGTTAGTTACCCCTTACAAAAAATGCCAGAACAATTTGAATGGTAAAATATCATGTAAGTATCTACGATACTCCACTCCGGGTTATGTCCATGTTTCTTATGTCTCTTAAGAAATCCTATCCTTTCCTCTAGGATATTTGCTTTAGGTTTTTTCCCATAAATATGAGGATAGTTTCAAACACAAAGGGCACGTCCCTGGTAATTACCCTACATCTACAAACCAAAATTTCATTTCCGGTATAGCCCCCCCCCCCTCCTTAGAAATAAAACATCACATCAAAATATAGGTCAGTAACGCATGCCTTAACATGGCATGATTCTGTCGCCTCTCGCAGGTACGTATGGGTATAGTTATATTGTGAAAAAACTGATGTTTGGTGATTCCGGGACAATAAGAGTTAATTATTGAACACGGGACATGACGCAAAATTCCGGGACAATCCTGGATTTCCCCGCCATCTGGCAACCCTGGTCTTTTTACAAGACTGCCCAAATATTTGTAATATTTTCATGGTTCATGTCTTTTTCTTTATTCCACCATTACTTCGGTACTGGACCGATTAAGATTTATGTGATATCGTTAGAATTCTTTTTACCATCTCGGGTGACATAGGCTATGTACCTACACTATTAAAATTATAGTAACAACAATGGCAACATGACAATTAATTATAATAAATTAAAAAAAAATACAAATTATTACAACATCGGTATCATTTGGAAGGTCTTAACATGACCATTTTATATATACAAATATAGTAGTTAATATTACTATCGGAGTAACACTGAATGAGAGAGAGTGAGAATATACTTTCATTTGTACGAGTCGACTCCATTATTTATTTTGCATCGAGCCAAATGATGTTAAGCCAAAGTGGCCGAACCGATGGCGGCGTATTACAACAGGTGGTTATTCTCGCATACCCACCCTATCAAAACATTGAATCGTACACGTGCACGTAAATGTTAGCACGCACACGGTCACGAAATGTAATAATTTCGATGCTATCTAGCGTTTGTGGGTAGGTATCGTAGTGGTCCTCAAATTGAAATAACTTTCATATACCTGCCCATCTAGCACACTGGCTGTATAAAACAGCGATATAACAGCCGTTTAATGGAAACTGGCGATGGCTTCAGCAGTATAAAGAAGCTCTACAATATTTGTATAAGCGGCTACAGAGATTTTTTTACCTTAAATTAAGCACAAACTGTACAGCTTATAACTTCACAAGCGCTTTGTAGGAGCCGTTCAAACGTTTTAATGTGGCGATATAACAGCTCTTTAAGAGTGAAGGAATATACTTTTATTTTATTTTAAGTAGCTATTATAGCGTGCCTGTACAACTTTGCCTCTATTTACGACGGAGACGACCTCCGTGCCCGAGTGGTTTGTACGCCGGGTTTTAAACCCTATTTCGCCGGTTTCGTATACAAATATGTTTCAATATTATGTATTATTTTCACCACACACCACCATCAGCCTATTAATATCCCCACTTCTGGGGCACAGGCCTTCCGTATGGACGGAATAGGGAGATTGGGCCATGACCCGCCACGCGGGCCCAGTGTGGATTAGCGGGTGCTAACGACTGCAGATGCAGCCGGGACCAACGGCTTAACGTGCTTTCCAAAGGACGGAAGAACGCGAAATTGAAAATTTTTGGTCACCCATCCAATGACCGACCACTGCGAAAGTTGCTTAACTTCAAGTATGGCAGCCAAACGCGCTAACCACCTGCGCCATCGAGCTCCTCACGTATTCTTTTCGTTACCCTGGTATCCCATAACACAAGCCTTATAGTGTTGACTTTCGGTCTAAGTGAGTGTGAGTGTTAGAAATATTTATAATTATTGTTTTATTTCCTATTACATTAGACTCAAAACGTGCTTGTTACGAGTAAAAGACTTGTCTACGTCACTCATATGTGTTTCCCAAGTGCAGGTGGCTCGATTGAGCAATCGTGTTAAAAAGTGCTTATTAGACAGATTTAGTTCATGCAAAACCTTCGGACAGTTTTGGGAGTTGCTTGAGCTTCAAAGCGTCTTGACGTATAGTTTGTTAGACCGGATCATCGGGATCAATCAATATAAGTAATTTTGTGAAACATTTAAATAAATAAAGTTATAATTAAAAGTTTAGTTTTTAAAAACCCTACCTGACGGCTCCATTCCGTAATTTGCTCCTCTTTAATTTCGCACGCCACTAAAGATACAATAGCGTTCGAACTTAAAAAGGTCTACTTTTTAAGAATACCCTTAATCTGTGGTCCAATATGGCGGCGGAATCGGTTTATCTTGTTACAGCCCTAACACAACTCTCTCGTTATCGGGTCAATATCAAAAAGTTTTCGGTTTCTTTTCACGCTGACTTTATTATATACAACAGATTTTTTGTCGTTTCAATAGATTGGGCCGTTAGAAATAACTGAATGTCTTGCCGCTACACCTAATGCACAATTGACTTGCATCACGGTGATCTGCTATGTCCAATCTTTATGCCGCAATCACATTTGGTCGTTAGCCTGTATTCGGGTGCATGAAATACATTTCTCGAATTCGGGAACCCGAAGCAATATTTATACTGTAAGACGGTATCGGGGGTAAGCAAATGGAAATCTACCCAAATACGGACGTACTCGAGTACGTCTACTCCGTTCGGAGTCGACGGTCGACGGAGTCGACTCCGTTCATTTACACTTTTTTGGCATTCGTATTCGGGCTAACGTCTTAGTGTAATCGCGCCATTATTATAGTTCCATTCTAAAAATCGGAATATTCCTTCAGTAATAATTTAGGTATGCATTTGGTTAAATAACCAAAATAAGTTTCAGTTAAGCCCCTTGTCATCTCAGTTATCTGAATATAATCATAATTAGAATGTACATATATAGTATAATTAATAATTAGCTAGATAATTAATTTAATTTACTTGTACATCTAAAAACCTAGTTGGTAAACAAAAACCATGTTTGACAATTAGATGAAACTGGACATGGGTTAATTTGCCGATTTTGTTTCGTGAAATTACGATCCTGTTATCCTGAACTAGAAAATGAAACAAAAGAACATTTCACCTTTTTCTAAAATAATATATTGCTCTTCGGGCCTCTGCGTTTTTTGCGCCAATTCAGTCGCCAGGATCCCTTCTGATACAGAAAGGATTTCTATTGTAGCTCTCAGCGTAGACAACGGTCTGACCGACGACCCTGACCCATTCCTCTAGCCCGTACCAAAAGGTACTGTTATTTGACATTGTTCTACTGCAGGCGCGGTCGCAGCCTGAAATTTTGGAGGGGGTCACTCACTACACTAACAAAAAGAAGAAAAAAGGTATCTGGAATAAAATAAACATTATTGCGACGAACGACGCATGTCGATTTTGCTAGAATTACCAAAACTACGTAGTTCGGTTCCTTGTTTCTAAACAAGTACTAGATGTCAGCAAACTATAAATTTATCGCTGCTAGGGAATGGCTAGAAATTTCCTTTTATTCTTTGGCAAATTTTTGAAATTTTTAATTTGTCCTTAGATTTGGAGGGGGGAGTCATGTCCCCTGTGACCCCTGTGAATGAAAATAAAATACAATCCAGTTGACTTATTGAAAGCTCTCTTAAACAGTCGTTTTAATTATTAGTTCTTAATTAATTTTTTGGATTATAAGTAAATTAACACCTCAATCTTTCAGTTTCTATAAAATTTTCTACGGTTGTCTGGAAGAAATCGCTTTAAGCGATAAGACCGCCACTTGTGACACTAGTTTAATTTAGAATGTTATTTTTATATTGTTACTTAATTGGTGTTATAATAAAGTTAGCTTATCTTATCTTATATATTTTTTTCCTTCCAATGGAGGTTACTTCCCCAGACGGGCACTCCAATTATTTTTTCCTATACCATTTTCTTTTACCTAGTACTAGGACAAAGTTTCAACTGAATAACAAAATGAAGCCTGAAGACCCTTTAAGTCGGAACTAACGGCAACGTGGCATACTTGAGTCAGAAAGAGTTTGATATCCGTGAGAATTCGCTTACCCTACCCAAACCTACCACTACTTTAACCTTTAAACACTTAGATCTAAAGAAAATATAACTAGAAAAAAATCCACGTGGCCCAGATTTAAGCATCAAGCAGTTGCATGCTCAAAAAATAAAAATTATAACTATAATTGCTATTTCTTCTTTCAAATATTTAG